TATATATATATATATATATATATAATATAAGTTTGTTTTTTTTGTCAGACCATGAGATTTGTATCCTGAGCAGGTCATAACTGTAGGATGCACATTTAAATTCATTCACACCGGGTCGACCCAATTAAAGACAAAGTGCTCACCAGATTAGTTTTTGCATACGAGAGGGGGTTCGAACTCCCGACCCTTTTTAAGGGATGAGAGTGTACGAATACTCACGCCAACCAAGCTGATTATATATAATATAAGTTAGGTCAAGAAATTTATTTATATATTTAATATTATATATAGGGTTATTTTGGGGGTTGGGGGTGGGGCATTACAAGTCAATATAATGTGCCTAGCACAATAATGTATATGATCAATAAGGTAATTGGATAATTTGGTCCCATGTGACAGATTAAATCCATTACTATATACAATCAATTGCAAACATCTTAATGTGACCTTTTACCTAGCTTAGCTAAAAGGAAGTAGAGAATATGGAATGTGATATATATATATATATATATATATATATATATATATATATATATATATATATATATTGAGATGATACACGGTACATACAAAAAGAGAAAGTTACAAGTAAAATTTGATATAAATGGTAGATGATTATTTGTTTACGTCTGGAGCTTCACATCAGTATTTTTGGCGCTCCTTTGCGTGCAAAACATAAAAAGAAAACCGTGCTATCATATCATAAAGATAAAGATAGTGTGCATAGATCACTCTATTATTGCTTCTTCTTATTTCTTTTTTCCACTCCTTGCCTTTCTTACTAAAACTCTTTTTTCTAAAACCAAAATCCTTTTCAAACACAAAGCTTTAACTCAGTTGTGTAATGCCTTGCTAAGTTATTGTTTTGGGGATGATTTATGTAGCGAGAAGTCTCGTATATATATATTTGGTTTTTGCCTAATTCTCTTGCGTCCATTGTTCTAGTCAAGCGTTGCAAATAGAACTAATAATATACCTATAAGATAAGGTGAGAACAAGTTCTCACATATAAATTGCAAAGTAATGCTAACCATTAATATGAGATGATTAAACTCTAAAGCAAAAAAAAAAAAAATGTGACAACAATTTAGTAAATATAAACTTTTAAGCACTGAAAGTGCACTACGCAAATCTATAAAGTATATCAAATGATATGTAAAAGTGTAACTTTATAGTTTAGCGAGAATCATAGATCTTGAGTGCACTTTTACATATCACCGTAGATATTTAAGTCACTGATGTAGTAAATACACTAGTATATATGGATAAATGTACGTAACTAGATTTATTCCGTAGAGTTATACAAGTCTACTTAACGGTTCAAGTAGTTGAGCTCAGGAACATATGGCAGTGGGCCGGAGTGTCCCGAGATGGATATGGTTAGGTAGAAATGCCCAAAAGTCTTTCTCTTCGTAATTAATGTGCTATTTATAGGAGTTAAGAGGGGCACATGTCGAGCTCTCGACATGCCTTACACGTGTTGCGCATGCAATCTGCAAGCTCGACGACTGTGTAGTGGAGTCCACGTGTTGCGATATTCTTGACTGGCCACTAGATAATAAAATCAGGTTTTGGACCATGAATCTTAGTTAAATTAAATGCGATCCAAGTGACCTTGTTTGGGATACTCGTCCTGACGCCACAGGGTTGGTATCGATCTCAGCGCAAGGTAGAAGGTGTACATTGACTATTTATTGCTCGGTCTTGCATCGAGGTCGGGTCGATCAAGCATAAGATCAGTCAAGGTCGAAAACGGTTCCTCGCAGTTGTATATTTGTAAATAACTCAAACTTTGGTGCAAGTAACATGTATTAAAAGTGCAAGCAACTGGTGCAATTGTGCAGGTAAGAAATGCAAGTAAAATAACTTAAAAGTGCAACTAGTTTCACTTAGTAGTGCAAGTAATTTACCTTTTTAACATTGGTTCACCTAATGATAACGTCTTCCACACTGGGGCACTTAATGATTAACGTTAGGTGTACTTAATATTCATTCTCAGTGTACATTATTTCTTACAGTTTTAATAAATTTTACTTGCACTTAGGTGCACTATATGAAACTTTTACTTGCACTTTTAATACAATTTAATTACACTTCAAAGTTCAATTATTTACGAAAATGTCACTGCATTTAAAAAAAAAACAATGTTTTTGATCCGTTAGATCTGGACACGTGGACGGTTGCGGTTGGTTCTCAGTTTTCTCATGGGAATGTGGTTCTCAGTTTTCTCATGGGCATGTGGTTCTCACCTGGTCCGTCTTATATATATATATATATATATATATGTGTGTGTGTGTGTGTGTGTGTGGGGGGGGGGGGGGGGGGGGGGGCACTTAGGTGAGAACGGGTGCCCAAGAAAGAACTAAGAACCAATCGTAGTTGTCCACGTGTTCAGATTTAACGTATATATGTATTTTAAAGAACGACGCGGTGGCATTTTCGTAAATAACTCGAACTTTTGTGCAAGTAAAATGTGTTAAAAGTGCAAGTAACTTGTGCAAGTAATTTACCTTGTTAACATTGGTGCACCTAATGATAACGTGTTTAAAATTGGTGCACTTAATGATAACGTTTGGTGCAACTATTGATAACGTTAAGTGCACTTTATATTGATGCTCAGTGTATATTATTTGTTGCACTTTTAATACATTTTACTTGCACTTTTAATACATTTGACTCGCACTTTTAATACATTTTACTCGCACTTAGGTGCACTATATGAAACTGTTACTTGCACTTCAATGTTCAATTATTTATGAAAATGTCACCGCGTTTTCTAAAAAAAATCAGTGTTTTTGATTTGTTAGATTTGAACACGTAAACAACTGTGAGTAGTTCTTAATTCTTTTCTGGACAACTCATTCATTTATATAAAGGAACTCTGACTTAAAGCCAATCCATGATGAATGTGCAGTGGTAGCTAGCAAATTATATTGTAATTCAACCAAGCTTTCCCAAGATCCAACAATAAATTAAAGCTAACCAGTTAGGTCAAATTTATCTTTTTGACCTTTGGGTTCAGATAAAAAGCATAGAATACATATTAAAGGCACTTTATTAACTCTAAGATGCAATCTCAAATAATATTCTAATTATTATTTAAGTATTTGTTTGTATAAGGTTTGTCTGCCATTATATTTCATGAGTCATGTCATGCACGGTTATAAACCTCATTTTCAATTCACAAACTATTAAAAAAACATTTTATAACCTCCAGTCCTTCACATATTGTGAAAGTAAATGGAGAGTTTGTGGGATAGTATGCACTGAGGATGAAATTATATTAAGAGAATAAAAAAGCTGAAAAAATAATCCCGATTGTCGTGATTTGGGGAAGAGTTGATACCTCGGACTCCAGTCATTTATACATTTTACAAGACTTAGGTTATTCTCACTTAACTACTAAAAAATTTGGCTGACCAACTTACCCTGCACACTCATGAAGTTTGTGACAACTTCTCGCTGAACGTGTAATGATCTTATTTGTAATAGAGTAACGATCTAAGGCTACCAAATCTATAAATATCACATTGTATTTCAAAAAAAAAGGGGTCCAAATTGCTAATTAGAACACAAACATTATTCTTGCATTCTCAAGCTACCAAGAACGTTATTATTACATCATATCATTCAATATTGTTCCTCTATTGTGCCTTTTACATAACATGCAATCGATGTTGAAGTTATATTGCTCGAGTTTACACCAATATGAGCTAAACACTAATATTATTTATGTGAGCAGACACGAGTGTATATATATGGATAATGAAGTGAAATAGTGTGGTTTAAATTTGTAGGAGACAAAGTTGATGAAAACCACATGGAGCTTGTGACAATAATATATATATAAAGGACAGTTCTTTGTCTGATTTTAAGTGATATGTATGGAGTATCGTTCATCACAAAGCAAGATAATTGTCATCATTTGACGCATGGATTTCCAATAGTAAGATCATATATGACAAACTATTAGCTATATCTCAAAGTACATTTATATATAATGTAGGGTTTTTTATGGTGCCCAAAAGCTTTGTGCCCACACTTTCTCATATTATTTGTCTGCATTTCCCATCCTGATATATATAGAAACAGGTGCAACTTATCACCAACTTGCACTATATGAACCCTACATTTTAAATTTATTGTGAATACCAAAGCTATAAACTTTATGGTACAAAATTCAATTTATTTTATATATATATATTTTTAAAAATATTAATATGAACTGTAGGTCAGAACAAAATAAAATTTAAAGAACAGGAGAAACAAAGCATTCAGCAGAAGCTCTCTATCTCATTTTCTTATTTTCATTTTTTTATTTTTTTTAGAATTGTGATTAAGCAGTCTCATAGCTTCTTTTCTGTTAATAGTTTTATTATTCACATAAAAATATACAAAATATTTTTTTCGACTTTTCTTTTATTTTTTATTTTTGGCCCACCATCAGTAGTACTATTATTTTTTATTTTATTTTTTAAAAAAAAAAACTTGAGTAATTAGAGCTTTGTTTGGTATGCAAGTGCAAGTGATGCAAGTTATACTCCGTACTTTAATTTTATAAGGTAAACCATAAAAGAGACTGTCAGAATACTTTATTTTAATAAATAAAAAATGCAAAAGTACCTTAATTTGGAAACAAACTCTGACATGTAGTACCAATACATAGTAGAATTCAATCTTAAGATAAAGTTTGGGCTTGGGCAGAATCATTATTGGGCCCTTTGGCCCACTTAAATGAGGTTTGGCATCCTAGGGGTCAACAGTTATACGACCCGGATCCAAAATACACAATTTGAATTGTGAACATTTAGTATGTAAATTATATAGGTAAGTTGTAAATAGTCAGTATATAAATTGTGTAATTTTTGAACCCGGATCCATAGAATAATTTGCCCTAGGCGTAGCCGGGTAGGGAAAATGTTCTTGCCAAAAAGAAAGAAAGTAATAATGCTTTGTTTTGAGTTTTGACCACTAAAAATTTAGTGACTTCAACAAGGAAAGAGAGCTGCACAATCTTCATATACTTTACCCATACCATATCAGAAATGCACAAAACTATTATGTATACATTATTTCCCAACATTGATTCTTATAAAGGATTTGCCATTCGATGATGTTAAGGTACAAGCAGCGTAAGAGTAAGAGTAAACCTGGAAGTTCAATCCGCGAGCGCCAATTTGGCTGTCATCTTGCTGATTTGCAGTAAATCATCAAGCCTTTGAAAGACGAAGAATTCTCGCCCCCCCAACTTTACTAAAAAGGCAGGCTCTCTCTCGAGCATCGAATTCAGGATGGCATAATTTGAGGTGATCGAGGAGGAGCATTCAACGGAACATGTCAGGGAAGGACCACATTATAAGTCTGGCAAATGTGTCTGAATCCAGGAACTCAATATGAGCAGCCCTTCCTATCACAGTATCCAAGCTCCTCCCTTGCAATGACATATCAAAATTAACATCGCATCGCATGATTACCCGAAGCTCAGATGATGAAGTATACATCTGCTCCAGGCAATTATTGAGCATATCCATAAATAGTATTCCCTTCCTCGTTTGGTCCATTGAAGATGCTTGGCACATCTCAATCCTAGCAGAATGATATGGAACATAACCGTCCTGAAATCTCAACATAGATTCACATGAAAATCAAACAGCTTAAATGTATCAAAGTAATTTCTAGGACTAACCTTATATCATGAACATTAAGGCAAAAAATACCTGGGGAGAAGATAACAGAATAATATTCCTAAAGTTCTCCAAGGTCTTTTGCTGGAAAGGACAAAAGGAGGTATATTAGAACCTCAGCTACAATGTATGTTTGATCAAATTTGTTTAATATATAAAAATAATAAATGAAATGAAATACTTGTTAGCCTCATCCTTCTGTTAGTTTTTGTTTTTACCAAAAAAAAAAAAAAAAAAAATAGTTTTAAGAACAGCACTTGTTTTAGAAACTTGCATCAAAGAAAAATGTGCCATGTGTCATTCACCACTTATTCTTCTGTCTCACCCCCATCACCACAACAAACTAACCGCTCACTTACACCAATCTCCCCATTTTCTTACTGATGATAGAACTGAATAAAAAAGAACTTCATTTCTTATACTTCAGGAAGAGGATTTTAAGTAGTGCCCCAAATTCACAGGAAGTAGTTGGCCACGCTCTCCATGTTATCCCCTCATCACTGGTCACCCCAGGGTCAGAAACCAGAGTTCAACCAAGAAAATGAAACCATTCAAAAATTAGATGATAACCACCCCATCTCCCAGTAATATACTAACTTATGAATTTTTGATACTGTTAAGAGTCTCACATAGATAAAATAAGAGAGAAAATATGGGTTAGACTAGCTAATTGGTTGGTTTCAATCTTTTAGTGTGGTTTGGCCCATGTGCATTATAGCCCAATTGAGTAACCCTAGCCTAATCTTAGTTTATAAGAGATACTTTATTAGTTATTAGTACCTTGCATAGCTTGTACAGGAATGTATTTTCAATATCAGGATCATCTGAAAAGGTAAGCTGATGGATACACGGTGTGCCTCTGAGCTTCTTCAAAACCCACAACCCAGAATTGAACAAAGAATTCGAACTGTACAGATAACCAAGATGTGGGCCAGAAACAGAAACATATGTATACAGATATTTGAGATATGGTTCCATAATGCTCTCTGTAAAAGTAGCAAAAAGAATTAGTAATATTTGGAGTTGATTGAAGGAAACATCCAAAATTATGTGGAACAAACCAGTCAACGCAGCTCTTATTATGACATTTCCGAGGGAATGCCCAACAAAGCTAAGCTTAATGCTTTCTATATTTCCAGATCTTGTCACCTTGTCCATCCTCTTTTTTATGTAAGAAGTTACTTCTTGAGCCAGTCTTAATCCCATTTCCCTGAAGTCACCGGAAGTTTTCTCTTCATTAGACTCTGACATAAGAAAGTGTATCTTAGGTTCTATCAAAAGCCACTGATTTCTTACAAGCCGCAAGTCTAAATGATGCCCCTGCATGGTCAGAAAAAAGACATCTAGAATTGTATTTAATAAATAAATAAATAAATAAATAAATAAAACCTCGAAACAGAGAGAGAGAGAGTACATCTAGAGATTATAATGCAGCACTTAGCACTCATGTGACTGATCCTTGAATGTCATAACTCTAATCCTAGACGTTTAGAAAAGAATAATAAAAACTACAACACTTAAGGGCACCCACAATAAGCTATAGAACTATAATTTACAAGGGAAATTTGCACTTTTGGTCCCTAAGATATATACGTTGTGTAAATTCAGTCCTCTAATTATCATTTGCTGCAATTTGCAAATGAGACCTCAATTATCAACAGAAGTGATGATTTGAGTTTGAGTCCTTAAATGTTAAGTATGAACGGAAACTAATATGCAGTAAGGGACTAAAATTGCCAAGGCAAAGGGACTTAAATCACCACGTTTAGTGATAATTAAGGTCACATTTCCAACAATCAGTAATTATGAGTACTGAATTTACACAACACGTGTATCTTAGGGACCAAGAGTACAATATTCTGTTAGAAATTCTGAATTGTTTTTTTTTTTCTCAATTGAAAAATACAAGCCCTAATTTATACAAAGAAGAGGATTGATTATAGGGAAGAGAATCCTATAATCAAGGAAAGTAAATAAAAAGATCACTAAACTAGGGAAAGAATAAAATCATATCACTAATTACAGATCCTAAGAATATATGCATATCAATCTAATATTTTCACATATCAATTCTAATATTTCCACATATCAATTCTAATATTTCCACACTCCCCCTCAAGCTGAGTTGTATATATTATACAAGCCCAGCTTGGAATTGAATTCTTCAAAGCTCCTTCTAGGTAGAGCCTTCGTAAGGATGTCGGCAATCTGTTTCTTTGTAGGAATGTAGTTGAGTTCAATGATCCTCGAATTCACCTTCTCATAAATGAAGTGCCTGTCTATTTCAACGTGCTTTGTTCTATCGTGATGAACCGGGTTCTTAGCAATGCTGATGGCAGCTTGACTATCACTGTACATTTTGAAAGATGTAGGAGCTTCAATTTTCAACTCATTCAACAACCTTTTAATCCACATCCCCTCACATATACCTAATGCCGGAGCACGATATTCTGATTCTGCACTACTCCGAGAGACAACTGACTGTTTTTTGCTGCGCCAAGTGACTAGATTTCCCCATACATAGGTACAGTAACCACTAATCGATCGTCTATCAGTCAACTCTCCAGCCCAACTAGAATCCGTGTAGACTTCTAGGTCTCGGTTGTCATGTTTTCTGAAGTGCAAACCAAGACCTGGTGTCATTTTGAGATACCTTAGAATACGATAAACAGCTTCCAAATGCTCCTCATTAGGGTTATGCATATGTTGACTTACAACACTAACAGAGAAAGCAATATCAGGTCTGGTGTGGGAGAGATAAATTAGTTTTCCCACTAATCTTTGATAGCTCCCCCTCTCTACTGGAATTGGTTCCCCACTCCGATTTGTTTTTAAGTTAGGGTCCATTGGAGTGTCTGCTGGCTTACTTCCAAGCATTCCAGTTTCGTTTAGAAGATCTAGGATGTACTTTCGCTGAGATATAACAATCCCTTCCTTAGATCGAGCTACCTCCATCCCAAGAAAGTATTTGAGGAATCCTAGATCTTTGATCTCAAATTCTGATGCAAGAAACTTCTTGAGGTTTGAAATCTCACCTAAATCATCTCCCGTTAGGATTATGTCATCCACATAGACAATGAGAATTGCTAGCTTTCCTGTTGAAGAGATTTTAACAAACAGGGTATGATCAGCTTGACACTGAGTGTATCCAAATTTTACAATTGACTTTGCAAACCTATCAAACCATGCCCGAGGTGATTGTTTCAAGCCATAGAGAGATTTTTGTAGTTTGCATACCAGTCGTCCATTGGAGTTCTTTTTCAAACCTGGTGGAATTTCCATATAAACTTCTTCTTCCAATTCTCCATTTAAGAATGCATTTTTTACATCCAGCTGATATAAAGGCCAATCACAATTCACAGCAAGTGATAACAGAACTCTTATTGTATTGAGTTTGGCAACAGGAGCAAAGGTCTCTTGATAGTCAACACCATATGATTGAGTGAACCCCTTGGCAACCAACCGAGCCTTGAATCTGTTGATACTCCCATCTGAATTATACTTGACAGTGAAAATCCACTTACATCCAACTGCATGTTTTCCTTGAGGTAACTCAACAAGACGCCATGTACCATTCTTCTCAAGAGCATTTATTTCCTCATTGACAGCAACCTTCCATTTGGGATCTCTTAGTGCCTCGTAGATGTTTGTGGGAATCTGGACAAGATCAAGAGAGGCAACAAAGGCTCGATACATAGGAGTTAATTTCCCATAAGCAACATACCTTTCTATTGGGTGACTAGTGCATGTTCTAACACCCTTTCGTTGAGCAATAGGCAAATCAAGATCATCAATAGCAGTAGATACCAACTCATGGGTCATAGAGTCCTTACCTTCATGATTTTCAAGGTCACGTAAGCTCGAATGTGTGTTTGAACAGTCCTGGCTTTGCATGTTAGCCTCTATATTTTGAAGTTTTCTCCTTCTATAAACACGGAGTTCTGGTGCTTGAGGAGGTGAATTTGGTAGAGTGTTTTCTGAGGATGGATGGTTGTTTATTAGAGGCGAAGATGGGTTGATTGTAGGAAGAGAGGATGACGGCTGATTGACCATGTTTTCTGGAGTCACATCTGATGAAAGAGGTAATAGAGAACTGGATGATGTAGGTGATAAATCAGGTTGAGTTGGAGTAGGTTGATGCTGGTATGGTAGGACATTAGGTGAAGGAAAGGTAGCCTGATTATCTTGAAGTGTTTCCCAAAGTTGATATTTGCTCAAATGCTCCCCCTGAATACCAGATTTGGGAAAGAATGATTGGTGTTCAAAAAAGGTGACATCCAAAGTATAATAAACTCTTTTTTGTGATTGGAGAGTAACATTTGTACCCCTTTTGAGTATTAGAATACCCAATGAACATGCATTTGTGTGATTTGGGGTCAAGTTTTGTTCTTTTGTGATCATAGATATGGACAAAAGCAGTACAACCAAAAATTTTGAGTGGCAATTCCGAGGAAAAAACTGAGAGGTGAGGGAATGCTTGTAGTAACAAGGAGCATGGTGTCTTGAACTTTAAGACACTACTAGGCATACGGTTTATGAGGTAAGTGGCAGTAAGTACAGCTTCCCCCCAAAAGTGTTTAGGCACATGATTTGAAAACATGATGGACCGAGAGACTTCAAGGAGGTGCCTATTTTTTCTCTCAGCCACTCCATTTTGCTGAGGGGTGTTGACACAGGAACTAATATGGACAATTCCCTGATCTAACAAGTATGGACCAAGAATTGAGTTGTAGTATTCTGTCCCATTATCAGTTTTCAAAACTTTAACTTTTTGTTTGAACTGATTTTGAATCATGGAATGAAAAGCTTTAAAAATTGATGCAGTTTCTGATTTTTCTTTCATGAGGAAAGTCCATGTGGTCCTAGTGTGGTCATCAATGAAGGATACAAACCATCTAGAACCATTAACATTTTTCACCCTTGAAGGCCCCCAAATGTCACTATGTATCAACGAAAAAGGTTGAGAAGGTTTGTAAGGATTGCTTGAATAAATACTTCGAGTATGTTTTGCAAGTTGACACACTTCGCAATGAAAAAACTTGGGTTTTTTATTGATAAATAAACCAGGAAATAGTTTTTCAAGATAAACAAAATTTGGATGTCCAAGGCGAAAATGCCACAACATGACTAGACTCTCATTGGAGACAGAAACAGAATTGAAACCATAATTTGACTTGGGGAAATGTTTATTTTCAGGAGTGTTTTTTAGAATATAGAGACCATCGCAAATTTCAGCACTGCCAATCACCTTCTCCGAGCCCACAACCTGAAATTCACAAAGCTTAGGATAGAATTTAGTTACACAATTCATGTCTCTAGTGAGTTTACTGATGGAAAGAAGGTTGCAACTTAATTTAGGAACAAAGAGAACAGATGAAAGAAAAAGTTCATCAGTTAATTTGACGGATCCTGTTCCTATCACGTTAGAGAGGGATCCATCAGCAATTCTGATCGTGGTGGGATTGGTACAAGGTTTGAATGTATGAAAAACCTTTAAATCACCTGACATATGGTCGGATGCCCCGGAATCCACAATCCAAGGACTTGTGTTATTGGAATTTGTAGCAAATGCATGAGAAGTGGTACCTTGATGACTCATCATACTAACATGTGCTTCAGCGGAAGGTGGGATTGACTGTTGTGCAACAGATATCTGCCCAAAAAGCTTTTGTAGCGCCTCAAGCTGAATTTTTGAGAAAGGACTGACTTCATTTGGTGATGTTTCAGAGGTTGCAGCCACATTAGCACGGGATTGATCAGTACGGGGTTTGGGTTTCCAATCAGCAGGCAGGTAGTTGTGGCCGTTGAGCTTATGAGAGGTGATTGGGAGAGGAGAACTATCAAGGACTTGAGGAAGGTTAGGATGATTTGTGACAGTCGAGTGAGAAGGATGTGATGACCCATCTAAAGGTGAGGAATCAACTGGAAGGGTTTCAATAGGTTTAGACATAGTTGCTGGAGAGATTTGGTGAGGGAGGATAGAGAAGAGCTAGGGGTTTAGAGTCAGGCTCTGATACCATGTTAGAAATTCTGAATTGTTTTTTTTTTTCTCAATTGAAAAATACAAGCCCTAATTTATACAAAGAAGAGGATTGATTATAGGGAAGAGAATCCTATAATCAAGGAAAGTAAATAAAAAGATCACTAAACTAGGGAAAGAATAAAATCATATCACTAATTACAGATCCTAAGAATATATGCATATCAATCTAATATTTTCACATATCAATTCTAATATTTCCACATATCAATTCTAATATTTCCACATATTCCCTAACTTACAATTTAGAACATGAAAGGAAATAATACAATCAAACTTATCAAATATACTAAACTAGATAGCACAAGACGATAAATAAATTGAAGCAAAGACGTGATAGGATGACATTGCTTGCCTGAAATCCATGGACAAACACAACAACTTTTAGAACACGACTATTTCGTCGAAGGCTGTCAAACTTCTTAATTGGTTTGGAGCCAATCCCAGCAAGCTTGATATCTGTATCTTTATGATCCTGATTGCTTGAGAGAAATGGTGCAATCCGAACACGCTCTACAATTACAATTGGAGTGCGTAATGGATCTCCAAATATTTGCATGTCTTGAATAGCACAACTAGTCATCTGCAATACCTAATGCTTGCTCAGGTATTGCTTGCATAATGAATATGACGCAAAGCACATAATACTTTAAGATAAGAACTCACCTTCATTTGTGAAATACTCTGCCTGTGAAGCTCAGCACGTTTTGTAGCAGTCTCGATAGGCTGTTCAGGGTACAAACAATAAGTAAAATTACAGCAGACATAATAAGGGATAATTTCACTTGGAATGCCCTCATTTCCACAATTACACTCACGTCCACAGACAACACTAAAAGAGGTGTAGTTCCTATTATGCCGTTTAGGAAATGCATCTAAGACATTTTGAACTATGGACTAGAATGAAATGGTTAAGAAAAAGATGAGGGCTCCAACTGTTAGTCTGTTGCCGACATAATCCACAGGGGGTCCAAGTGAATTATCCCTAATTATAAATCCAATAAGAATGCAGCAGTAAGAAAGCCAGTAAATCAGAGGTTCCAATCCAATTACATCATCAGTTAGCTTTTGCAGAGCAGGTGCTCCCCCACAGGTATTGTGGTGGGAAGAACTGTCAACCTCACTACTTATATATTGGTGAGGCATCAGAGCTTCAGAATAAACCATCCATATTGACCATTCAGATCTTCGACCAACAGCCCATTGTTCTCTAAGAAAATCCAGAATTGATGCTTTGTGATCCCTGGGCAGAAATAAGAGAAGCCATGTTAGAACACAAAGTACAAAATACACCTTAACAGAGAAAATTCCATTCCCTGCTCCTAAAGCCAACCACTTGTTATCATACTCTATTTAATCAATTAAACCTAACTGGAGATACTTATTAATTACCCCCCATCTTTCCGACCCAATTCTCATCAATTACCCCAATTCTGTGATATGCTCGGCTTTCAGGCAAGTGGGCCATTCTCCTGTTTTTTCTTCCTTATAAAAGTATTATTCACAAAGAACAGCACTATGGCAGGTGCATACAAAAATGTGCATTTCTCCATTAATGACAAATACTCAGTATACTACTTTGTATGCAATGGTGAATCTAAAGAAGCAATTAAGTGACATAAAATGTAAAGTTCTTGGCTTTTTGAGATCTTTTTATTGAGGTTTATGCAGCAATTGCCCTGAATCATATATATCTACATTCTACACCCAAGTCAAAAGACAGGAAATGTTGGGGTGTGGCTGTGAGGGAGAACTGGATTTGATATTTGTTTCACACCTTGGTTCAGTTGTGTAAAGTTGTTGGTATCTAAATAGGAATTTTAATCGTTTATGTAATTTTAATAAGGGAAAATTGCACTTTTTGTCTCTAAATTGTGCATTCCTATTAGCTTTGATCCTGGATTGTTAAGTTTTGTAAATATAGTCCTCGATACTATTCTGTTTTTAGTCTTTTATCCTTGTTAAGGAATATATATTTGATATATAGAATCTCTATATATTAGGCAGTTTAGGGTTTTAGGTAGGTAGGACATATGGAAACTTGTTTCCTATTCGTAATTTTCTAGTACCTATTTATAGGGCTTTGTATTTTCTATTCCTATGAAAGTTTGATATAATATATGATAACACATTAGAAACTCTCTCTCTTCACTTTTGTAACATGGTATCTGAGCCTTTACGATAATTTTTTTTTCCGCTACGTTGTCGTCACGTTTTGACTAGCGCGTGAGGCTCCTCCAACGATTGAAAAACGTTTTGGTCAACTTGTTCCTGGGTCGCCTAAGTCTGTTTGTCTTGGTTCTGGACTTAGTTTGGACCATTGCCTTTTGTTCTACAGTCAGTTTGTCTCGTTTTGGTGCTGTCTTGTTTTGTGTTTTAGTGCTGTCTCGTTTTGTGTTTTGGTGTTGTCTTGTTTTGGTCCTATCTTGTTTTGGTGCTACCTTCGTTTTGGTGTTGTCTCCTTTTTTTATACTCGTTGATTGGAGCATGCTTCCCTTTTGTAAGTCAAGATACTTCCCTTTTGCTAGTAAAGAATTTGTGTCCTCCAGTTTGGAGTTTGTCTTCTTTACTTTGTGTCCAAGCTTGTTCGGTCCACTTTTGGTTCACCCGGAATTGCGGTATTGGTGGAGTCCAAGCTTCTGGTTCAGGGGAGGGTTCAATCCCAAGCTTGTTCGGTCCACCACGTTGAGTTCACCCAACTGTCCGTAGGTATTGGTGGCGTTCACAGCTTTCGTTTCAGGGGAGTATCCAATTTCAAGCTTGTTCGGTCACTTTGTGTTCACCCATTGTTCGTGGGATTTGTGGCGTTCGAAGCTTTCGTTGGAGGGGGAGTATGAGTATCCAATCTCAAGCTTGTTCGGTCTTCGGTGAGTGTCCTAAATGGACTTGAGTTATTAGTTATTTAGTTATTTTGGGTTATCACTCATTTGTGTAACAAGTTGGGCATTATTAAAATATATGCTCCAACTTGAGGGGGAGTGTTAAGGAATATATATTTCATATATAGAATCTCTATATATTAGGCAGTTTAGGGTTTTAGGTAGGTAGGACATATGGAAACTTGTTTCCTATTCATAATTTTCTAGTACCTATTTATAGGGCTTTGTATTTTCCTATTCCTATGAGAGTTTGATATAATATATGACAGCACATTAGAAACTCTCTCTCTTCACTTTCGTAATAATCCTGATACTACACACCACTGTACATTTTATTTTATTTACGCTTTGAGAGTGTAAAGGGAATAAGAAATTCCACTTTTTACCAAAATACATGTTGCTAGAAAGAAAGGATTTCAAAGAATGTGTTTCTCCTATTTTCTGTGTGTTGTTTACTGCTGCAACATAGATCTATATATACACAAGTGGGGGCAGTTTTACAGCCTCTTCACCTCCTATGTCTATTTATGTCTATGCCTATCCATCTCCCATGACTATTCATTTCTAACACTCCCCCTCAAGTTGGAGCATAGATATTAATCATGCCCAACTTGTTACAAATATATTCAACCCTATCCCTGCTGAGCCCTTTGGTGAACAAATCAGCTAGTTGATCGCCACTACGAACATGAGCCATAGAAATTAAGCCTTGTTGAACTTTTTCACGCACAAAATGACAATCTACCTCAATATGCTTGGTACGTTCGTGGAACACTGGATTATTTGGAATGTGTATAGCTGCTTGATTATCACACCATAAACGTATGGGTTTCATCACTTCCACACCAACCTCCTTCAATATATTGTGTACCCAAGTTATCTCACACGTCACATGAGCCATCGCCCTATACTCGGATTCTGCACTGGACCGAGCCACAACAGTTTGTTTCTTACTTTTCCAAGAAACCAAATTACCTCCTATGAACACACAATACCCTGTTGTAGACCTCCTGTCGCTCAATGAACCTGCCCAATCAGCATCTGAAAATGCCTCAACTCTCATATGTCCATGATCAGCATATAGAATGCCTTTACCGGGCGCATTCTTGAGATACTTTACAATTCGAACTGCTGCCTCCCAATGAGTTCGCGTAGGTGCTTGCATGAACTGACTTACCATACTGATTGGAAAAGCAATATCCGGACGCGTAATGGTGAGATAGTTCAACTTTCCCACCAACTTCCTATATCTCTCTGGAGAGTCAAAGGCCTCCCCTTCACCAGCCACAAGTCTAAAACCCTGTTCCATAGGGGTCTCACATGGTTTTGATCCCAACAACCCAGTATCATCAAGCAAATCTAGCACATATTTCCTTTGAGAAAGAAATATTCCTTTCCGAGAGCGAGCAACTTCAATCCCTAAAAAATACTTCAACACTCCCAAATCTTTCGTGTGAAACTTTTCTTTGAGGAAAGATTTAAGAGCTTCAATCCCTGCTGCATCACTACCTGTGATTACTATATCATCAACATAAACAACCAAGAGAATGCACCCATCATTAGTATGCTTGAAAAAGACAGTATGATCACACATACTCCTCTGCATACCAAACCCAATAATCACACTACTAAACCTTCCAAACCAAGCTCGTGGAGATTGCTTCAGGCCATATAGAGACTTCTTCAATTTACACACTCTCCCAGACTCCCCCTGAGCAACAAACCCAGGAGGTTGCTCCATGTAGACTTCCTCAACCAAATCACCATGCAAAAAGGCATTTTTGACATCTAGCTGATATAGAGGCCAATGATTAGACGCAACTAAGGAAATAAAGATACGAACTGAAGCTATCTTAGCTACAGGGGAGAAAGTTTCTGTATAATCAACACCATAAGTCTGTGTATACCCCTTTGCCACTAGACGAGCTTTAAGTCTAGCCACAGACCCATCAGGGTTCATTTTCACAACATAAACCCACTTGCAACCAACTGCAGTCTTACCGGTCGGGAGGGGTACCAAATCCCAAGTATGATTGTCCTCAAGAGCAGCCATCTCTTCCTCCATTGCTTGTCTCCACCCATCATGAGCTATAGCTTGACTCAAAGTGTTTGGAACTGACACAGAATCTAAACGTGATACGAAGGTGCGAGATGACAATGGCAAATGATCATAAGACACAAAAGAAGAAATGGGGTTTTGACAACGGCGTTTACCTTTACGAAGGGCAATGGGAAGATCCAGATCATTTGACGAAGATTCTGGTAAGGAAGAAGTATTCACTTGTGGTTCGAGCAGTGCCACTTCATTTCTCGACCGCCGAGTATAAACCTGTGTAATGGGAGGTCTAGAAACAGACTCGACAGGTATGGTAATAGTATATGTAAGAAATTCATTATCTAGAGTAGACCCATACCCAGACGACCCAACATCCCTCGAGAACACCATGTTTTCAAAGAAGGTAACATCAGCTGACACTAAATACCGCCCCAAGTCAGGTGAATAACATCTATAACCCTTCTGAGTACGCGAGTACTCCAGGAATATACACTTGAGTGATTTTGGATCAAGTTTTCTGCGTTGAGGACGAATATCCTGGACAAAACAAGTACATCCAAATATTTTTGGTGGGAGATGAAAAAGGGGTTCAGTCGGATACACCAAAGAATAAGGAATTTGACCTTGAAGGACTGACGAAGGCATCCGATTGATCAAGAAACACGCAGTATGAACAGCATCAGACCAAAAGACCTTAGACACTTTCATTTGAAACAAAATTGCCCGAGCTACTTCTAACAAATGACGGTTTTTCCTTTCTACCACTCCATTCTGCTGAGGGGTATATGCACACAAGGACTGATGAACTATCCCATGTTGGCCCATATAAGTAGAAAAAGGTTTAGAGAAATACTCTTGTGCATTGTCACTCCGCACACACTTAATAGTTGTATTAAACTGGGTTTTGATCTCAGCACAAAAATTACAAAAAATTGTAAACAACTCATCTCTAGATTTCATAAGATATAACCATGTACATCTAGAGAAATCGTCCACAAATGTTACGAAATATCTAAACCCATTCTTCCCTGTGACATGACAAGGACCCCAGACATCAGAATGAACAAGTTCAAATATAGATCGTACTCTTTTATTGACACGAGGAGGATAGGAAACCCGACAATGTTTAGCAAACTCACATGAGTCACACTGCAAAGTAGACAGCGATTCTAAATTAGGAAAGAGTTTCTTTAGGACTGACAATGATGGGTGACCATACCGACAATGTAGCTGGAAAGGAGAGATATCACTCAACATGGCCTTAGACGGAGATATGGACTGTTCCAATACATACAGTCCTCCGACTTC